AAAATTACAGTAAACTTGCTCTTTAATTTAATAGAAAATTACCACCAAACACATTTTTTTGAATAAAAAAATTTGAAGAGTTAATTTTAAGACTTCAATATCCCTTGGTCTGAATGAAGTCTTTGACTTTATGACTTTGAGCTAACACTCAATTATCTAGATGTTATTTTTCCAGGCCTGCTATAGGCCAAACCACTTCCTTAGGGCTCAGATGCTGCACTAGCAAAGTCCCTGTTTGAAAGCTTTTCTCCTCCATAAGTATATGGGCACTAAAACAGTGACTGGTTCTCCCTGAGAATGGGAAGTGAGGAAAAGATGAGATGGTTCTTGAATAAAGAAGTGGGATGAGATACGACTGAGGCATACTGGGAACTGGCAGCTAAGAGAGGCAAGTAGACACCCAGAAAAGGGGGAGTGAAAACTGGGATTTGTGTGTTTTATCAATGGGATTACTGTGATGACACATGGGCAGGATGTGGCAGGAAGTGATGAACTATGGGACATCCTAAGAATCATATTTGGTCCCTGCCCCTGTTCCTGACACAGAGTTCCCAAAGCCTCTGTAATTCATGAGTGCCAGTGTGCCAGGGCTTTGCACAGTTAGATAAGGAACTGAATGAAGATGAGATTAGATGAAAACCAAAGGTAAGATACCTTCTAAAATATGCCAGAATTTTAAGGTGATAAAGAAGGGTACATATTCCAAATAACATAAAAAGGGATTAACTATTAGCCCAATTGCTGAGTTACTAGCATTGTAACTGTTTTTGTTTGGTTTTTAAAATCTGGTTGCTGCACTCTTTAATTGTTAGAAATTTGAAGGTATATTAAGACGTAGAAGTCATATTTTACTCATTTTATTGAGGGATCATTTAGAGAGAGCTAAACTTTTTATTGATAATATTATCATATATGCCCATAAATGCTGGCTATCAAAGCAAGAAATGTTGGAACTGGTATAAATCTAAGATGAAGGAATATTTAGTTAAATTCAGTGCAACATTTTGCATTCTTTTAAAAAATATTTTATTTATTATTTTTATTTTATGTGTATGAGTGTATTGCCTGCATGTATGTGAGTACATCCATGTCATGCACTGCCATGGAGGTCAGAAGAGGGCTCTGGATTCCTCTGGACCTGGAGTTAATGACAGTAGGTAGCCGCCATGTGGTGCTAGGAATCGAACCTGGGTCCTGTGCAAGAGCAGTCAGTGCTCTTAACCGCTGAGCCATCTCTCCAGCCCCAACATTTTGCATTCTTGTTCAAAAGGCCTTGAGGAAAATCTTTCAGACATTGATTAAAAATCAGGTGACATACATTAAAAAACAAATGGTTTTATTCCACAAGTCCCAGGCAAAATGCCCTCTCAAAATCACACAGATGACTTAGAAGGGCTAGAGCAATAAACATAAATCCTTTGAAAATGGACAGAACAATTTTCAGATGCAATTTCCAGCGACTGGATTCTCACACTGAGTGGAACATTATGGCCATCCTCCCTGAAGGCTTTATTTTTATGAGGGAGTTTCTGAGTGGAGTATTAGCTTCCCTTCCAAAGAAAAGAACAGCCCATTAAACAGCTGCAATTTAATGAGAACAACAGAAAGCATGAATAAGCTTCAGTAACTAATCTTGTTTTTAATTCATAATGCAGGTCAAAGCTTTTATCTTAACAGATCTAATAATTGCATTTGGAAATTTGTGTATGAGAAGACTCAAAAGGGAAAAATTTGATGAGTTTTTTTATATCATTAACCTTTCCACACCTCTGAGCTGATCAAGTGTCAACCTACGGATATGAAGAAAGATAAGAAACAAATGACCGCTTATTTATTTGTCCAAAAAATGGAAGCCTACTCTGGGCATTTGGGGGGTGTTGATAAAGGTTTAGAAAAGACAAATGTTTGAGTAAAAGATAAATTTGGAATGGTACTTTGAATAAGGCTATTTCATCCCTTCCCTGGCTTTCAGTCGTATCTCATCCCACTTCTTTACTCAAGAACCATCTCATCTTTTCCTCACTTCCCATTCTCAGGGAGAACCAGTCACTGTTGTAGTGCCCCATGTACACGGTCTCCTAAAGTCTGCCTGCTCGTCATAAACTTGAGAATGGATCTTGTTCCTGTGATTCAAGGAAAGACCCGAAGCAAAGCACAATACCTATATAAAAGTCAAAAACAACAAGAGTTGTGCCCCACCCCTAGCTGAGGAGCTATTGACAGTTGATGGCTGCTAGGGAAGGAAGAGTCCATTCTTTTTAGGGGTGTGGCCCCTGGTAGGCTGACCATGGCCCCACACCCTTGTGTGTATGGGCAGTAGAAATTGGACTCAGCGGGAGGGCAATAAAATAAAAGAGGACTTGAAGTTGGAGGGAGGTATTAGGGAGTTGGGTGTGGATCTCAGAGGAGTCACAGGAAGGAGTGTGTGGTGTGTGGAGTTGGTAAATATGACCAAAATATATTGTATGCATGTATAAAATTCTCAGAGAGTTAATAAAAATAATCTACTTAAAAAAATACCAACAGTGAGACAGCAGCGTGAGAGTGCGTGTGTTCCTGTACTCTGAAGGTCTGGGTGGCTTCCATGGTGTGGAGGGCAGAGGGAAGACAGCTGAGACTGGAGTGAGACTAAAGCCTAGTCTTAGGAGGTCAAAGCATCTCAGAACATGGAAAGAGACAGCAAGACAGGTCATGCATCATGCAAAAGTTATGACTAGGACACAATGATGCTACTCTTGATGTAACAAGATGTGGGGAGTTGTGAATCTATGCCAAACGACCCCCTGTGGGGGTGGGGGTGAGGTAGAAATCAGAGAGAAGACAGAACTAGCTTCTAGTTCTGGCTATCACATAAACTAAAAACCCTCCCTATATAATACTTGATGAAAATAACAGACATATACTTTTTTTTTTTTTTTTTTTTTCTTTTTTGAGAAAGGGTCTCCCTGTAGCCGCCCCAGCTGACCTGGAACTCACTATGTAGACCAGGATGGTCTTGAACTCACAGAGATCCGCCTGCTTCTGCCTCTTGAGTGCTGGGATTAAAGGCGTGCACCACCACACCTGGCTGATGCATACTTTTTAAATGCATAGCTTAGCTAACCAGAAAGGAAATCTCTAAGCCCCCAACATGAAGAGGAAATTAAAACCAGAAAAGCCAGTCCTTGAATCAATGCTGTGGCTGCCCTCGATTAGACAAAGAAGGGAAACAGAAAGTATTGGAAACAGGGCCTAGGAACTGAATTACTAACAGCAGACTTCTAGCAAGAATCTGCATCTTAGAAGGACGTTCACTGACAGGGTGAACTTGCAAAATTTGCTGGTAGAATAGCCCATCTCTATGTTCTCAGAGACGCTGCGCAGAACAACAAAGGCCCTGCTAGGTATAAATCTGTACCTCCTGTGAATATGAGGATGGAAAAACATTCAAATTGACAAGTTAATATAAAAGGAAGTCTCCTGGACAGCTGGTATACGAAAGAATCCTGAGTCAGATCGTAAAGGGTTGTAGATACACTGAGGCCTGTTTTGTGTAACAACGGACTCTGAAATGACAAAACATTTATGGGTGGGCACCTTTTCCATCATGAATGACTCATCAGACAGAGGAACTGGGAGATTAGAGCACCAATCAATGAGATACTAGAAGAAAATGGTTGACAGATGGGATCAAAACATACCTATTGTAGAAGTTCAGAGAAGAATGCTGGTTATCAGAGGCCAGAGACAATAAGGGTTGGGAGGGGCAAGGAACGGTTGACTACAAGGTCCTAAGTTACAGTTACACAGAAGTAGAAGGCAAGATTGGAGGTAACAATCATGCATTCTGCATTTCAGTAAACTAGAAGAAAGGGTTTTTGGAAGTTTTTACCACATAGAAATGGTAAGTATTTGAGCAGACAGATATGTATTTAATCTGATGGAAACAATATATTGTGTATACATATATCAAAACACTGTACAGTACCCCATTAATATGTATAATTCTTAGGCTTTTATGTGTCAAATTTTAACAAAAAGGATTAGGAATTCCAGATAGCTACTGAAGTTTCTCTCAAGGTCTTCTTGCACAAAAATATTGTCGCCACCTGCTGGCAGTTGTCTGTAACATCAACTGGGTCGGCACTTGCCTTGGGGAGCAATTTGCTATCTTGCAAAGCTCAAAATGTGAATATCTTATACCCAAATCTTCAACTCTCAGTGTCTAGGACAGAGACATTCAATCATCCATATGCTTGGAAACACATGCCAAAGTACTTATACAGCACTGTCTTTATTAGCAAATAAAATGGAAATATATTAACCCACTACCAGTAGAGAAATAGGTAAATTAGCAATGCACATCTGTATGTGTTCATGTGCGTGTGTGTATGTGTGTGTGTGTGCGTGCACATACACGGACATATAGAAGCTAGAAGAAAACCTCAGGCCACCCCCGTCCCCGACCTTTTTTAAAGTAGGATCTCTCATTGGCTTGGAACTCACCAAGCAGGTAGGTGAGGCTGGCTGGCCAGGGAGCCCCAGGGATCCTCCTGTCTCAGTTTCCCCAGTCCTATGATTTCAAGCATGTGCCACCATGCCTAGTTTTTTTTCATGGGTTCAAGGGATTGAATGCAGGTCCTCATACTCACCCAAAAAGCACTTTACTTGACTGAGCCTCCCCCACCCCAAGTCCCAGGGAGCAGATCTAACATGAATCAGTTTGCAGTGCATTGTGCAGACCTTCCAAAGTCATTACCACACTGACATCTTATTTTATTTTATTTTTAATTTTGGGGGTTTTTGTTGAGACAGGATCTCCCTGTAGGCCTAGCTAGTCTGGGACTCGCTATGGAGACTAGGTTGATTTTGATCGCCCAGAGATCTGCCTGCCTCTGCCTCCTAAGTACTGGGATTAACAGTGTGCACCACCCCACCCAGTCTCCTGACATTTTAGTATTAAAGATTTCTTGTTCACTTAAGGTATTAAAAGAAAAAAATTGATGTTCTAGAAATTTATAGTCGAAGGGTAGTTATGAGAGGCCAGTGAGAGTGGGGTAAGGAGAAGGAGGGGAAGGTTGGAAGTAGGCACTAAATTACAGTTAGGTAGGATTAAGAAATAAGAATTTTGAATGTGTCCACCATAGAGAAATGATAAATATTTGAGGAGACATATATGCTTAGCTCAGGGTAAACAACACAAAATCATAGATGTATCAAAACGTTAAATAGTGCCCCATTAAGGTGCACACTTTCAATGCTTTTATGTATCAGTTTTTCCTTTCATTCCCACCCCCCAGACAGGATCTCACTATGTAGCCCTTGCTGGCCAGGAACTTGCTATATAGACCAATCTTGCCTCCATCTCACAGAGCTCCATCTGTCTCTATCTCACAAGTGCTGGGGTTAAAAGTGTACACCACCACACCAGGCATAGTTTTTCTTTTCTTTTTTTTTAAATTTAGGATTTCAGGAAGGCTTATGTATGCATTTGGCTCTCAAGATCTCTTTGTAAGAACATGCTGTCCCCACCGGCTGGTAGATGTGTGGTGAGGTGGCTCACATAGACGTCATAAAACCCAACCTCATGGACTGCTTAGAAACTACACCTTATGATTCAGGCACCAACCCATAGGGCTAAGTGGTTGGGTTTACTGCATTTTTTCCCCACTGGATAAGCCATTCCTTATGGACTTTTTTCAATCTCACATTACCCTCACATTACTTGATCTAGAAGGACATTTAAGATACAGAGAGGACATACCACTTCCTCAAGGTCACACGGGCAGTGAAGGACCGAGCCGAGACAGGATCAAGAGCCCCCCTGCTGACACTGCCTCCCAACGTGGGACGAGCAGCTGCCGTCACCAGAATGTGGAAGTGCTGTGAAGGTTGAATTTTTGAAGGAGAAAATGTGGAAAGACAAAATAAAGCGACTAGGGCCAGAGAGATGGCTCAGCAACTAAGAACACTGACTGCTCTTGCAGAGGACCTGGGTTTGGTTCCCAACACTCACATGGTGGCTAACAACTGTCCTCAAAAGTTCTGCATAGCCTGGAGTGGTGGTGTATTCCTTAACTCCAGCACTTAGGAGGCAGAGGCAGGTGGATCTTTGTGAGATCAAGGTCAGCCTACTCTCCATAGTGAGTTCTACACCAGCTGGGGCTACAGGGGGACCCTGTCTCAAAAAAAAAAAAAAATATCCTGCCAACATGTTGTGACTTGAAGTCTTGCCTTTAGTTTTGTGGAAGATAGATACATGCCTGCTTACATGTCTTTTTCACATTTTTAAAGTAGAAAGGTATTTTGAATTGCATTGCTCAACATCTGTTGCTTGAGGCTTCATTTAATAACTGCAGGACATTCCAGGGAGATATTATTTCCCAGGAAGTATGACCCCTCTCTGCTGTTAAAATAAGAGCAGAGGCTGGAGAGATGGATCAGTGGTTAAGAGCACTTGCTGTTCTTACAAAGGATCTGAGTTCAGGTCTCAGCACCCATGTTGGGTGGATAACAACCACCTGTAATTCTTGCTCCAGAGATCTGACGCCCTCTTCTGGCCTCCATGGGTATCCACACACACATGCACAAGCATATTAATGAATAATAAAATCAGTCTTTAAAAAAAAGAAAACAAGAGCAGAAAGCTCTCTCGCTTGGCTATCAGGAAATTTCATTTCCTGTCTGACTGAGCGCATCTGAAGGCAGGACGTGTCCTGTCCTTGACGCTCGATTATCTTCTCCTCACAGGCTTGACTTACCCTTCTTTGCACGTGTAAGTAATGGTGTTCCCAAAAGTGAAGTTACTCCCAGTGATGACAGCATCTTTGAGGACAGGTGGCTCGCCACAGGAGACAAGATGACAGGTAGGTGACTCTCTGTCCCAGCTGCCTGAGGCCGTGCATTCAATGATGGAAGAGCCCTGTAAGCTGCAGGAAGGAGAGGACTCAGGTCATCCCTTTCACTGGTTAATATCTACTGCTGTGGAGAAAAAGAACTCCAAAGAGGGTGCACGATGAGTTTTATCATATAAAATAATGTTTCTTTAGATTTTATTGCTTTGTATAAAAAGAGAAATCTAAACAGGCTCTATCACTTAAAATAATGAGTGAGTTAAAGCAATGTAACAACCATTTGATGCAAAATTACGGTCTAATGTGTTCAATGGTGGTGGGGTGGGGCTACTTCAGAGCTGGCAACTGTCAGCTTATTGGCATGATCGGGGTTAATAGATCGATTAGGATCCAGTCAGAAGCTAGACACCTGGACAGACAGGCAGGCAGTCAGAGTAACTGAGGTCAAAGGTACTGTCCTTCCATGAGCCTGGGATTTGGGCCAGGTTGCTTGTGACTCTCACCTCTTTATCTCCCTTTGACTTTACAAACCCTGCATCCCTAGGTCACAGTTTACCCACCTATGCTTCCAACAGGATTCCTACTGCCTCGATTTTTTTTTTAAAATTAAAATTACATTAACTTATTTATTTGTGTGTATGTGTAGGTCAGAGGACAATTTATAGTGGTTGGTTCTTTCTTCCTGCCATGTAAGTCCCAAGTATGGAACTCAGGTCTGTTCGCCTTGGAGGCAAGCACCTTTACCTGGCCTTGATTCTTTACTTTCCTGTTTCATTTCAGCTTATTTTGACTTTTCTGGGCCTGGCTTGATTTTCTCTATTGTTCCTTTTGTTTAAACACACACACACACACACACACACACACACACACACGCACGCACGCACGCACGCACGCACGCACGCACGCTCGCGGGCGCAAACACAATCAATCAGCTGATCAATTAATGAATTAAGTCAACTTCTTCTGGAATTGAGACCTTAGGCCCTTACCTCCTCATGTTTTCTCTACACTGTGTCACGTACTGCTAAATATAATCTTATTAAGCTACTTAAATTTAAAAAACCATGATCAAAGCATTTTATCAGGTATGAGCTAAGCTTCAAAAATCAACTTTGCTTTCTTCTTTAATGTCTGATTGGTCAGGTCAGTCAACTGAACTGTAAGGCTTCCTGGAGTCACAGTCAGATTAACTCTTTTCCTGGACTGGAAGTTAGGCCCCAGGAAGCATATAAATATAAGAATATTCTTTCATAAGTTTGTTTTTAAAGACAGCAAATCACATTCCGATGAAACCTAGTGAACATATGGGCACTGCAGGAGATGGTAGGAAGCCAGGCTGCTGGCTTTACCTGTATCCGTTCTCACAGGAATATGATGCAGTAGAAAGGTAGGTGAGCCCACTTAAGACGTATTTCCCATTGTTTATGTTCTCGGGTCTGGAACATGTCACCAGTTCACACACAGGAGAGGAGTGACTCCAAGAGCCGCTAGCAAGGCAGGCTGATTCTTCATCACCATCCAAAGTATACCCTTCATCACACCTAAAGAAGGCAGAGAATTCCTGACTACAAATGGCTTGACATTTCATACTTTATTATTTTTAAAAATATTTTATTTATTATTTTTATTTTATTTTATATGTATGAGTGTATTGACTGCATATATGTAAGTGCACCTGTGTTGTGCAATGCCTGCAGAGATCAGAAGAGGGTACTGGACCCCCGCTGGAACTGGAGTTACAGATAGTTGTTAGCCTCCATGGGTGCTAGGAACTGAACCTAGGTCCTCTGCAAGAGCAAATAGTGCTCCTAACCAATGGCCATTTCTCCAGCCCCTCATACTTTATTTTTTTATGAGTGTATATGTGTGTGCACATTCATGTGAGTGTGCATGTGTGTACTATAGTGTGCATATGGAGGTCAGAAGTCATCCTCAAGTGTTGGTCCTTGACTTCCCCCTTGTTTGAGATGAGATCTTTGTTGTTGGCTGCTGCCTACACCAGGTCAGCTGACCCGTGAGCTTCTGGGATGCTCCTGCCTCAGCCTCCCATCTTGCTGTAGAGTCACTGGGGTTACAGACACCCACTGCCATGCCCTGCTTTATGTGAGTTCTGGGGATTCAAACACAAGTCCCCTGTTTCCACAGCACTATTTTGCATAATTTCATGTGTACCCCCAATTTCTAAAGTATTGGGACTTTGCACTTCTTGGGAATTCTCTTTCTATTGAAATAATGCTGTGAAATTGTTTTATTACAAGGTCGATGAGGTGCATCTTTCCACGGTAACCTTGCTGGATAATAAGCAAAGCACAGAGTGAGAATTTGGCTTGCCTCCTGGTGGTGTGATAAAGAGTAGATGAAAGCAGAAAATTCTGGGTTTGAGAGTGGTGTGCACTAGTCTAAGTCCTTAGACTGTAAGATTTGGATTCACAGCCTGTCAATAACCTAGGTTATCCATTATCTGGGAGTGCCTTCTACCACGGGTGCCTCAAGGTGGCAATAACAGATTGCTGGACAGGAGATTTAGGGATATGACTACCATAAATTATCAGATTATTTCTTCATATTACATCATTCAATTAATTCTATGTTAATTAAGAAACCCCCTGGGGACTGGAGAGATAGCTCAGCAATTAACAGCACATGCTGATCTTGCAGAGCTCTGGAGTTCTGTTCCCAGCACCTACATCAGGGGCTCACAACCACCTGTAACTCCAATCCTGGGGCTCTGACACCCTTTTCTGGCCTCCGAGGGCTCCTATACACATGTGGATATCATATGCTCATACACACATAAAAATAAAATAAATAAATACCCTCTGGGATTAATCCCCCCTTATTCTGGTATTCTAATCCTGCTGTCTTGTCCTGAGCAACTGAAATACAGCTTCAGTGTTAGACACTTACCTAAAGGTCACTTTACTGCCATAAGTAAATGCTGCGCCGTCAATGCCCCCATTCTCAGGAATCTTTGGCACACCACAGGAAACAGCTGGAAGGACAGAGAGAAGTATGGCATTCAGAGACTTCAAGAAAAACTCTCTGAAGGGTCAAGGGCAGCTTTAGATTTTTTGTTTTGTCATGGTTAGACTTGAGCCCAGCACCTGGGCTTCAAAACAAAGGCAGACTGAAGCAACTGATATGCCAGCATCTTATCTTTCTAGCCCAGCACAGTAAACACGGACATTTCTCAAAGTACCTTCACAGTAGGGTCTTGGGTGATCCCATTCGCCAGACTCCAAACAGGTGATTGTACTAAATCCCACCAGCTGGTGACCCTCCTCACAGGAAAACGTGACTTCTGCACTCACTGTATAAATCTTGCCTGAAGAGTGGCCATTTTCTGGATCTTTTGGAGGCTTACATTTTATTGGTTCTGAAAACAAAGAAATTTCAGTGAAATAGTAAGTGGCCTTCACACAACCACACAGAGTCCCAGAGCAAAATAATTCTACAGCTAAGGCAACTGTGAAAACACGGAATCAAAGCTTTTGAAAGCAGAGGCATGAAAGCCAGGGACACACTGGAAATTAAGCCAGAAACCATACACGATAAGTAGCTAAACATAATATTTTTAAAAGATTTATTTATGTGTGTGAGTACAGGCGAACAAGGAGGCCAGGAGGGGGTGCCAGATCCCTCAGCACTGCCCCTTGTGTGTGCTGGGAACTGAACTCTAGTCTTCTGATAGGGCAGTAAGTGCTCTTAACCACTGAGCCCCTAAATAATAATATTTTGAAACTGAAATGACTAATGGAAACAAGCAAATTTTACATGGTGACAAAGGTAACTGTCTAATGGGAAAGTAGTGATGACAGAGCTGGGAAGGGGACTTCCCATGGCATCCCAACCTCAGATGGAGCTATAAGTAGCGACTGACTTGGTCTCATGCTGCTGTAACTACTAGATAATAGTACCTTTAGGGAAGTTCCTAGCCACCTTTCCAAACAAACTGGACCATACATTTGTAGATACCCAATATCTACAAATTGGGGGTCAGATACTACTATTAAGTAGGGAAAATGGTTAAAGCAAGATTTGAGGCCAGAATTTAGTGCAAATACATTTAAAACGATTTTCAAAAGGGGAGGTTGGGGTCAGCAAGATGGCTCAGGGTGCTTGCTGCCAAGCCTGACACCTTGAGTTCCATCCCTGGGACCCCCACGGTGGAAGGAAAGAACTGCCTCCTGCCAGTTGTCCTCAAATCTCTGCACACATGTGTTGGGAAACCCTGCTGTTAGGGTTGTAGTTCTCCATGTCCGGATAACCCCTTTTCAGCAGGGGGCCTCCTGCTCTCTTCCTGGCTCACCTGGAAAGTGCCACCAAGCACAGATGCCTGACCTTATCTAAAAACATGACCTTTGGCATAGTTACTTGGAGTAAAAACTACCCCCAGGTTTTTTCTATATGATAATCAGGCATTGCCTGATAGTCTGGAAGATAGGAGCCCACTGCCACATGTAAAAAAAAAGCATACTATGAGCAACTATCAGCTGAGGATTTGGCTACTGCCTCCACACTATAATTTCTCTAGTTCTCCCACTGAATAAACGGAGCTGTTTCACTGTGTCTGGAGCTGTATCACTGCTGTTTCACTGAGCCTGGGACCAGCCTCCCCGGAAGGGCTTTCTTCCGTCAGTGCTCACTGGCCGTCCTGACCCCGTTCGTCGCTTCTGCTC